TTTTTCATAACTTCGATCAAATGTAGCCAAGATCAAATCAAGATTCGACCGAAACACTATCGCACTCCCTGAACACTACTGTCGCACCTGGTGTGGCAGAGGCCGAATCACAGGCGCTGACCTTTACCGACTAATTTTGGCGCCGGCGCTTGTAGCTAACGTACCAGTCTGTTCGCTCCCACCTGATGTGACTTAAAGGCAGCGCCCGCGTTCATTTGTTGTTCCCACGCCCTCTTTGGATATCGTAGCTCACCCTATGAGGATGGTGGACGTACTAGTTTCGCAACTCAAAAATGCGAGAGAATAGCGGCGCCCGCTCGTGAAGAGTCGGCCACCTGGCGACCACTACGCCCAACTTCATTTCTAATGGTTGCCTGATGGTGCGGTTGTTCTGCTACTAACTCTCTCCACTTCGAATGGTGAGAGTGAGGTGATAAGGGAAAACAGCTGATACCAACAAGTGAGAACTCGTGCGGCCGCGCCTTCTCTTCGCCTTAAGCACGTACAACCTCAGCTCGGCGTGGGTCCTATATAGGGCATATCCGATGATTTTTTTGCATTTTTCTTCACTAATGAACTACTTGCTACCTTGTTGTCACTGTCTGAGCCCCATAACTCATCAAATTGAACGCGGGCGCTGCCTTCAAGTATTAATGTAGCTGGAAGAGATCACGTGGCAAAATTCCGGCCTACACCGAGCTGGAAGAAGTTCGATCATGATCTGGCTCGAAATTCGAGGAGTGTAGCAGTAAAGCGTAAACAGTGGCAGTTTTTGTTTTATTGATGGCATGATTTCGAACAAGTAATATTAAAGGGTGTGAGAGTTAAATTCGGTGAAGTTGTGAAGATGTCAATTGCAGATCAAGCGCTTGTCGAGCTGTGTGTTAACGAATGCCTGATGCTGCTTTCATCGGTGTCACGAATGTACTACACATCTCGATCAAGTAACCGTCTCCTTCTTCTGACCTCTGTGTGCAATCTGACGTCACAATTCGTGGATTATCCGCTCTATTGCTTCTCATTAGAACATCAAAGCAATCCTAAACTGCCATGCTGGCTTGAAGAGCTGCTGAAGGTGCGATAGCGTGATGTTATATGTTCATTATGTGCCCTTCCTGAAGCCACACGTGTTCAGGTCGTGGACGCTGAAACTTGGGTGCAACAAATGTCGTCTACATCACAGGTTCGTTTGAATAAATCCACTGCGGATCGCGTGCTGCACATAGCGCAGCGTGCGACAGCATGGAAAAGAATCTTTTATATAAACTTGCCAAGATTTTTCCTGTTCAAAATTATTACTGCATTTTCGGGCACTATTCACGGTTACTTCGAGAACTCAATTTTTCGCTGAATCTTTGCTCACACACGTTATTCGTGCCTTGATCGCAAATACGACATTCATTTTTGGCACTGGTGCCATCCAGGGCGCCTTAGCGCCATCATATTTCTCACTAGAATCTATGAAAACTTGTGTATGGGGCTTACATGACATCCTGATCACCAATGTGCTATTCACTCTTGGCGCCGGATCCAGTGTAGGGCACTCTGATCAAATGCACTCTGCTCACGCTGAGCCTGGCACGAAGGGAATCATTCTTGCCAGGCTCATTGTGAGCTCAGCTAAATTACGCTGGTGAAAAATGAAGTCGTTTTGCTCAAGGTATCAATCAACAGTGTTATGCAAGTTTTCATCGACTCTGGTGAAAGAACTGGGCCCGCCGAATTACTCCCCCTACCATACATAAAAGAATGTCATATTCGTGGTCAGGATGTCAATTAACCTCCCCATACAGATTTTCACCGATCTTAGTGAGATAGATGGTGGCGCCAAATTGGCGCTGTGTAGTGCCAGCGCCAAAAGTGAATGTCATGTTCGTGGTCAGAAAACCGAATAATCTATAAGCACAGTTCCTGCGAAATTTTTCTCTGAGTTTTTTGAGTCGGAATAGTGCGCTTGCCGTCTTTCGTAACCAGCTGTAAAATCTTCCATCTATTACTGATGAATTTACTGGCAAGGTAATTGTTGTTCTTGATAATTCAATCAAAAAATATGAAAAGCGCGTTATGACGGTCCGTAGTGATTCAAAGAACAGCTCGAAATCTTTCCCTACAGTTGCTATATTGAATGTTGCCTTTTCAGTATTAATGACGGAATGCTTCTGTGCGTAAACCTATTTTGAAGCTAATATCTTCTTTCCTCTATTATACATCGTAAAGATCATCAATAGCAAGTTTCCAATTACACTCATTCACATTTCCTGCTTGTAGTTTATCGACATCTCTGATCTGACGGCAAGAACAACTGCTTTTGAGCTCGTGGTTTCAATCTATTTGAAGTGTTCATCAGTTCTGGCACAGCATGAAGCTGCAAATGGGCGAATCTCAGGAGGCTCTACGGGTGTTACTAACGAGTATGTTCCGTTCCTTACTTCCTTGTAGACATTTTTCATAGGTATGAACTGGTTGAGGCGGAGGTGGTGTAGTGACAAGTGGCGCGCTTACCACTCGCGCGGCGCCGGGTTCGAATCCCGGGTCGACTCCCGCCCAGGCCAACCAAGCCTTCTACCCTCCGGGGACGGTGAAATTGGTACCAGATTCGTCTGG